TGTTTTTGTAGTAACAGTGTTAGTATGAGATGACGTATACTGTACGCTGAATCGACAATGGTCAGCCGAAGTTTATCGGTGTATAGAAGACGTCTTCTTACATATCCATAAATTCAACCAGAAAGGCGACCGAAAGCTTGAAACAAAGGATTGGTCTAGAATTACAGCAGAAATATGACTCTCCGCAAAAATCTATTGCATTAGGACAAGAATATTTCTAATCTAGAATGGAAGGAAGGGAAGCAAGTCAGTGTAATATCAACGCACGATATATTAAAAATTCATTCAAATTCCTAAATATCTCGTAAACTTCCAGCAGGTAATGGGTTTGTTGTTCTAAACAAAAATCGTACTTCAGCTAAAATACGTATTATGGTAGCTGTTTGTGATGTTTGAACAACTTACCTAATCATTTTGGAACTCTTTTTGGATTTTAATTTTTTGTCTTTCTGAACGCCAAAGCTTTCCTTTGCAGGAAACTTCTCTGAAAATTTACCGATCTATGACTCAGTTAAATGTGATGGACCGCATTCTCTACGATTCTCAGCGACAAGGACGAATTTCATTTTACATGACTAACTTTGGAGAAGAGGTTTGGCTACTGTACCATGGATTACATTATCAGTTTGTTCTGTTGATGTGAATGTGCTGATTAGGGAGCACATGTTGGATCGGCAGCAGCGCTTAAGAATGAAGATCTTATTTTTGGACAATATCGCGAAGTCGGCGTTTTGATGTGGAGAGACTTTCCACTTGATAATTTCATGAATCAGTGCTATGGAAATTGTAAGGATATAGGTAGGTTCAGAAGAAACTTGAATACATTTTCCTTTATCCTCTTTATGTATATCACCCGTATATTTGTAGGAAAAGGCAGGCAAATGCCCGTCCACTACGGTTCGGTTGAGCATAATTTTGTCACGATCTCTAGTCCACTCACCACCCAACTACCACAAGTACGCTGATTTTCGGAACTTGTTCTGTGCTTTTGATTTAGGCTCATTGTTCAGGCAGCTGGATGCGCATATGCATTCAAGCGCAAGCCCAACAATGATCGTATCGTTGTTGTGTACTTTGGAGATGGAGCAGCGTCAGAGGGGGATGCGCACGCCGCATTCAACTTCGCTTCAACTTTGGTATGTCTACAACCAGCTGGCTTGCCTTGTTGTATCAAGTTTTTAAAGTATTCTTTAGTCTTCTATGGTTACTTGAACATTTTGTTTCACCGTTTTTGGAATTTTTTTCCCACCTGTGGCGGATAAAGTGCTTGAGTAGATGCAGATCATTACAACAACAAGCAAGAATCTGATAAATTAGTATCTGATGGTTTTCTCATGTCATATAACCTATTGGATGTCTGCGCTTTGTATAGTGTGCCTACTCTATTCCTGTGTTAACATCTTTTCAATTAGCTGTACTTTGCCAGGGTTTGTGATGGAAATTTTCACTTATAATTTCAGGAATGTCCGATCATTTTCTTCTGCCGTAACAATGGCTATGCCATTAGCACACCGACATCAGAACAGTATGGTGGTGACGGCATTGCTGGAAGAGGCCCCGGCTACGGTTTACACACTATCCGGTCAGATAATGGCATTAGGAGATGTTACAAGCTCCGATTGTTTGCTTTTGTTGCAGTGTTGATGGAAATGATGTATTTGCTGTTTACAATGCCACGAAAGCTGCCCGAAAC